AGTGCAAATGTTTGGAAAGGAAATCACAAAAGACGCTGAAATAAAACTCTGTTTTTTAAGGCACTTTAATGCCCACCAACCGGGGCAGCAGCAGCTACAGACCATTTGAAAAGGTTAAAAGTAAAGGGTAAACAGTAGCCTGCAAGTTGTTGACATCTGTTTTATCGGTTCGTTTTATATGCTGTTTTTATCAATTACGACTATGAGCATTTGATTTCTTGAACTTGCATAAAAATGTTGCGTTCAGGCTAGCGGTGGAACGGCCCGCGAGAAATCGTTAACTGTACGGCGCTTACAGAGGCTTTAACGTATTTGAGCAGCTACGATTTTTGCACGAAACTTCCTGTTACAAGTTAAGCCGTTAAAAAATCTCATTTTGTTCGAATATCGTTCTATAGGAAGTGGAAGAAGCGTGCTGCATGGAAAGCTAAATTATGCAGGACCGACGTACAGAAGCCGAACAGCAGAAAAAAAACTGAAAGCTATGTTTTACCGTAAGCGATATTAACTTAAGCATATCATAAGCACCAATGGTTCAGACGAAGCAAAATGACGAACATGATATCAATTAACAGTTGCATATTTCGCCACAAATCATTATTGCTGCGAGCAGTTAACCAGTTTTCGTTTTTATTCCAGTCTGCAAGTATTACAGACGCGATTTCGTGCGTTTAGTCGCTTATTCCACTTCTTGGCATCCCCTTCTTGGCAGGGGATATGGAACCGTCTCTCGCATTTGGTACAGATGACAGTTTTGTCAGAGCCCTTGACATCGTACTTTTGACCGCATGCGGCGCACACAGTTGCACTTACTGCTGCTGGCTTTGGTGTTACGACGCCACTTGTGCCTGCCACCGGGAGAGCCAATGGTCCTGAAATTTATATGGTATGCAGCATATTGTAAAACGCCTCAACATTCGTTCCTTTAAAACTTTATTGCTTTAATCAGTTTCCTTTTACTGGATTATACGTCATGAATTCGCTGCATGCTAAACAATACAGCGTTAAACGTTCATAATGTGACCAGATCACCCAAAATCTGGTGCGATAGTCGTTACGCGCTTACCAGAAACTCGAGGAATATGAACACTAGAAACATTTCTTGCGGAAACCGGAATCACTGGACTGTGGTGATCACCCGATATTTCTTCTTGGGGAACGAATTCCTCTTCGGCATGTGAAGTGACTGAACTCACATTTAGCACTGGCGTTGAGCTTAGAAATTGGATTTCGGCTTGTGTGGAACTTGCCAAGGGCTGGAATCGATGTCGGCTAGGGTGACCTTTGAAAGGAGACAGCTGCGCAGACATTCCAGGACCGTTTTCAGGAATCGGCGCTACAAGAAAAATTATAGTTATCATACTTTGTGCCAATCTTCGAAAGCGAAGACATTCATGCTTTGGCTCTGTATATGGAAGACGTGAAGGTCAACTGTAGCCGCTCAAGAGGTTTTCCGAATATAAGTGATATAGAAATTACTGATAAAATAATAAGCATACCCTCGTCGTTTTCCAATTCATCTGTTTCGCCACTCAGGAAGAGCAACTGGTTACTGGTGAACACCGATTTTAGTATACCTTTGCACCGTTTGGTTCCCGCGTGTGGCGGAAATTTTTGCGGTAGCAAGGATTCGGCATTCGCGTTTTCAAAAAACTGTTTGACATCGCACTGGCGGTCTGGAAGCTCTTGATGAAGTGCCAAAAACTCATTCACTTTCACGCACACGTGGTTTCCAATAGTCATCACCCGGAAGCAGCCGCTCAGCTGTCAAAGAACATCATAACAGCACAAAAGCAACAAATATAAAAATTACCCTTGCCTTTTCGGGATCTCTTTCTCGAATCAGGCTAACGTCGCGGCAAAACCCAAACGATTGCTGCTTAATTGTTTCTTTGGCTGCTACGCCGCGCATGCTTAGTAGCGAACTCACTGCACTTTCCCGGAAAACGTAGTACTGGGCTGCTTGTGGTAACAGTACCGTCAAGACAAATGGTTCCACTTTTGGGCACCAATCTCCAAGGTTCACCTTCTTCAGAAACTACAAGCAAAGTTTAAAATAATTTCACAAAATTTCAATGGCTTCGGCGCTATCACAAAGGGCATACTTCAGTACTTGTACCTACTGTACTTATTCAGTTCAGTACTTCTTCAGTACTTGTACCTACTGCATGGCTAGCGCTACAGTAAAACTGAATAAAGATTTTCGTCCGTACTACTGTAGATCTTGGCGTAAAAGACACATTTACAAGAATCAAAAAATCGCTTTAATTTGCTTTATGCATTTCAAATCACTTTTTTATGTGAATACTACATTTATACCATGCCGAAGAAAAGCACCTGTGCACGTGCGCTATTACTCTAACGATAAAATTATTCGAGCGACCGATGCAAGCAAAAATTTTGTATTTCTCAATACTTACAATTTCAGTTGCAGCTGTCAGAATTGCGTAATTATCAGCAATGCGGTGTTTGCTGTCTGTTACATGTTGATTGATGACGATCGAAATCTTTTCACGAAGAGCATGCACTCGACTGCGTAACAGCTGCTTGTCAGCCTGGGTGAAGTTCAGGAGCGAGGGAAAGTGCACCGAGGCTTCGGCCATACTTTGCTTAATCTGTTCTTGTTCGTCGCTTGTCATTGGGGAAAGCTGAGCTGTCATTGGAATCACGACTGCTCGGGAAAGCGCTTCATACCTGAAAGAAAAGGTGCTGGCGTTTTCGTTACGTAAACGGGTAAGTTTAGCGAATATGTGGATAATATACATACATATACGCCTTTGTTTACATAATCGGCTTCATTAACTCCATTACCGCACCGCTAATTCACCATATATGGTGAAAGGCTTAGCACATTACAGCTTAGGACAAAATGGTCGCATACCCAACATCTCCACATTCAGTACGAATGCAGCGCAGTGCACTGTACGACTGAGTTCAAAATATCCGTTTCGTACAAGTGCACTGCACCGCTTGCGTACAGAATGCTGGGTATGGGGCTATGCGACCATTCAGTCCTACATTGTATGTAGTAAATCTTTGACAATTTATGTTGTACAGATAATAACTTTTTACTGCCCATAGTATGTTGATGTATAATGCTATAAAAATAGTTGCAGCCCATTAATTTTTGTGGTTAGTGTAATTGTGTTGTATTATTACAAACTAACTTGTATTACAAAGTATTACTTGTACTGATTGTAATAATAGTATTAAAAGCAATTGTATTAGTAATACTAACTTTCCTTGAAGAAACACCATCTGTCTCTCGTTGCATGTGATGCAAATGCTGCACCCAGGAAGCATTTGTTGATCGTGTTTCTTGACCGCCCTCCCCTCGTACGTTTTCTGCAGCGCAGTTGCAGCCGTGTTGTTGTCTGGCAAGTCATGCACAATCAAAGAAAAATGGTCCTCTACACAGTGATAAAATTAAGTTACGTGATTGTGCTTGGAAACTTGAAAATTTGTTTCCTTGCCTGTGTATCGAGCCCGTAGAGCTGGAAGTGTTAAGTCCTTTGCGACAAATATGTCTAAGGCGTTAACTCCAAGAAAGGATGCACCACTTTCCGCAGACAGCGTTTTTCCGGTTGCACGGGGTCCGGTAATGAGTATACTCGGCGCGCAGAGCACCAGCTTTAAGAATTGTTCGTAGTGCAGACTAACGAACGCCGTATGCGCCGCCACCATAAGAAATCCGATAAATCTTTCCGTCATCTTGTCCTTCTCAAGTTTGCGGCGTATTACCTCAAGTATATTGATGGTGGTTTCTTCCTTCGCTATCACTAGCGGAACCAGATTTCCCAATTTAAGTGGAACCCATACGTACTTTGAATCTTTGGATTCTATGGACTTTACGGAGCCGGATGCGATTTCGTAGAAAAGGTCGGGAGCAAACGCAAAGGTAATTCCGTCGCGTTGTAGGTTTCGGTGCGCAACTGGGATTTTGTCGAATGAAAGCCCTCTACGGTTGCATGAGCTGAAAAACATGAGTGCACAAAATAGTATAAAGATATTTGTTTTGGGTATACAGTATTAGAGAGCGATACACATTTTTACAACCAGAAAATGTGCCGGTTGCTGTTTTGGCTTGCACCCTTCTTTCTAACGAATACACCAATTCAGCTATAAAGAGCGACTACACGTAATTAGGTGATTGCTGGAGCGGCAACGAAAATGTTAAAGACTTTCAAAACAAATGTACGTCATTTTTCGATAAGGCAGAAACCATGAGTAAAACACATGAATCATAGAAAAACATTTTTTTTTAGATTGAGAGACTACAGAAAACTACAGAGACTACCAAACTATACTACAGGAGACTACCGAGACTACAGAAAACTACGCACTACCTACCAAGACTACAGGAAGCTTCAGAAAACTACGCAAACTACCAAGACTACAGGAAGCCACGAAAACTACGCGAACTACCGATACTATGATGAATACTGACCATTCTGGTGTGCAAACCTACTACAGGGTGCTGCAGCAGATGCATGAGCGATACACTCCCGTCGCAGCTGTGCAGCCGTGCTGCACGCGTGCTCACCTGCACAGGCAGCTGCAGCTGCGCTGCGAGTCTCCTTGAGATTCGCACAGCACGTGTATCAGCGATACACTGGAGCCGCCGTCCAGCACGCAGCATGTGTGTTTACTCAGCAGCCATAGCAACAGACAGGCACACACACACACACACACACACAGCGTGCAGCACGCAGCACCCGTGTTCACACACACACACAAACACACACACACACACACACATACCCATAAACAGGCAGGCAGATGAGCGCGCGCTCTCTTTCTCTCACTCTCTGTCTCCCTCTATCATCAGTGTAACCATCATCATTCTGCTCTTGTATGCCGAATGCACTTTCCATGCATCCACTAAGTGAACTGCGATTTACAACGCACGCAGGATATCGCTTTCTCTCTTTCCCTCTGTCATGCAGCAGTGGAGAAAATTATTTCGAGAATAAGCGATAAGAAATCCATTTATTAGAGGTTCTCATGCCCTTAGCAGTATTATGTTGACGTTTATTTTTTGCGTGTCTTCTCCCATTACGATGGCGCCATGATGCTGTGTTGTGTGGATGTGTACGAATAAAAACTACACTCAGCTTATCAGTAATTCTTTAGCTCATTGGCCTAACATTATCGTGTTAGTAAGGTAAGTGCAGACAGAAAGAGAGAATCAGATTGTGGATTTCACTTTGAAAACACTTCCATGCAGGACGCCCGTCAGTTCTAAAATTTGCAATTGTCGATGACTGTACGCTGTACAAAAGCATGTCTCAATTAATTGTAGGGATAATTATCGTGGTAGCTGGAATATCGCCGAGTGCTGCTGTTGCACTGCAGCGCCCTTTATTATCAAACGGTGCTCTCGCTGCACCCGCAACCGTTAACCGGGCTGTATCCGCTGCCTCTCTCGCTGCCACCACCTCCCTCGTTGCCTGCCCATATTTCTGTATTTGTCGGGAAACGTTTTGGAAATGCGGTGACAGCAAGGTGAACTTGTGGCCGTTGGATAATCAGCCTGGTATTATTGTGAAGGGAGTCAGTATGCTGGATATGACCGGATCGGATGTTAATGTGCTTCCCAATTGGCCCCCAACGCATAATTTTCCCGATCTGCAGTTAATATTCCTCTCCCTTACGGTATTTGATGGGTCCAGCCGCTGTCGAGAGTTGGAATGCCTGGAAAACCTGGGTCTGCGCGTCATTGCCAATCGTTGTCCTGCAGGTATATACTTAACGAGCTAAATAATTACTCTAAATTTAAATGCATTACGGTAAAGTAACATCCGCACCCAGTATGAAACTTGGCAGTGTGATATGTGCACGAGTATTATTATAGGTTTACGTAGCGGTTGTGGATATCCTCCGTGCTGTACGTGGACTACCGCAACGACAGCCTCATTTCGACCAGGCTGGAAGCCTAGCACACCGCCGTTTACAACTGGCACCGAATCATGGTCAACAACCACTCCTTCACGTGACAAGGAGTACAGCACGCGCGCCATGACTCCCGCAGGCGGTGATGATAGCGGTAAGAATGCAACGTCAGCAACAACAGCAACACTATCACAACGTAAAGGCTTCACTGTCAGCCCGGCTGTGGGTGTTAATCGTACTATTTCCGCTACTACTACTACTACAACTACTACTACTACTACTACCACCACTACGTTTCCTACTACTACCGTCTCTAAGACTACTAGTACTGCTACCGTATTTATCCCGACCTTCATAACAACGATAACAGTGGAGCGAACCTCGCCAACGTTATCGTTGCCACTGTCAGCGACGACGACGACGACGACGCCGCTGTCGCCGTCGTCGCTGCCAGTCCTTACATCTTCGACGTTTCGCGGGTCTCGGCGGTCATCCGTGCAAACCAGCAGCACGGTCGGCAGTGGTATTGTGACTCATGCAGCATCATCGTCGGTGATAAATGATAATGACTCAACAACCACAACTGTCAGTCGCGCCAATAGGACAAGTACGCTAACATCATCAGAAACAACAGCCTTTACGCCGGGCACGGCGCTCACGCCATCGTCGTCGTCGTCTTCGTCGTCAACGACATTGGCGGCGGCGGCGCTCGTAACGGAAATGGCTTCTAGCTCGATAATACCAGCAGCGTTTGGAACAGCAACGCCAGCAACAGTGCCGGTGTCCAGCAATCATAACGCCACCAGTTCCGCTAGTAATCGGCTACTAACCCTCGACAATTTTCTGTCCACTACCGCCGTCACCACCACCACCATTTCATTAATGAACAGCACGTCGGCTGCGGCAACTGCTGTATATTCTTACATCGGTATTCACGCAAGTGCACCGCGCCTGCATGGCAATTCCCCTTCACCAGTGAACACAAGTATACGCACTAATACCGCTCGGCCGGAAGTGCAGCAGGAGCCCGGAAATAACAGCATCCGCAGCAGCAGGCGTGACGGCAGCGCTACTGCTAATAATACAGTTATTCCTACGATAATTCTTAATAACGTCAGTTATGTCCATGGAGGTGGCAACCGCACCGATGGCGGTAGCGACGGAAAAAATAATAATGTTTCGGTTGTGGGCACCGCCACCTCCAGTGCGTCTTTGCTGTTGTCACCAGCGGAATTCAGCGTTGTCACGACCACCAACCCCGCCACAACCTCCGATGCTACTACCGCGGCAACCGTGTATAATTTGTCCTGTCCACCGTGTCTGCTTGTAGGTGCAGAAATACGGCGCGGGATGGCATTAGACCAGTTTGCCACAGCAGGAATCAGCGTTGGTGTTATCATCTTGGTTGCTATAATCGTGATCTGTGTCCTGTGGAAGCGCGGCTTCCGGCTAGGTCGAGTGGGCGGTGTAGGAGCAGCTAGCGGCGGTGGCGCTAACGTCAATCTCAACAGCCGGAGCAACAACCCTCGCGTACCGCCACAGCAAGATTCTGCCTTCACTCCGATATTCAATCGAAGTCGCCCACTCCGCCCACAGCAGAATCATAGTTTCTCACCGACATTCAGCACATCCCGCCCGCGACATATGCCTACGCCTCGCTCCAGCCCACTGGCGTTCCTTTTCTCGCGGCAGCACCGCCCTCCCACCGACGCACCACCACCACCGCCACCACCGCCGCAGCAACATGAAGCCGTGATCCACTATAATCCCGAATATAACGGTCTGCCGGGGAACGAGGAGAATGGGCACGCTGGCGGCATGGGCGGCAGCCCTGGAGACGACAGAATCTATCAGAATGTCGAGTTGAATATTGTTCCTAACCGGGAGGAATGCCGCGGTAGGCGCTGGCGATATTATGAAACGTGTTTGAATGGCAGTTGCTTTTTCTATGCAATATGTTTCTTTGATAGGATCGCGGAATCTTTTGGACTTTGGGCTCGACAGCAGCAACAACAGCAGCAACAATTTGGCTAGTAACCAAGGGATTTCTGCGGGTAAGCGCAGCAGCAGAAAAGTATTTGGTTGTTGTTGTAATTTCGCAATCCCATTTTTGGAAGAGCTTTTTGTTGGCAGTCAGTGAAGAAGAGGAAGCAGCGAACAGACGACCTCACCGGAATTCTTCCTACTCAACATATTCCGGGTCCCCATCGACTCCGCTCCGACACGATACATCTTATCGCGTGAGCGCTGAAGGTACTTTTTAAAGTAAAATATCCCTGCGAATACCTTATTATTACATATTGCCATATTTAAAACTTTTTTTTGCGGGAAAACAGGTTTCCGTCTGCCGTCACAGATGGCTAGATCACAAGACCGGAGCAGCATCAGTGGGGTCCATGGAATGGAATCGATCGAGGAGCAGCAGGATGAGGCTCCCGATGTTTATCTACCATCCAGTGGTGTGGCTGATGGTGAAGAGGAAATGTGGGAGGAAGACGATGTGGGTGATGACGATGCCGCCGATTTTGAGAGCGAAGGTAATCTCAAATATTTTCAAACTAACGCTTGGCGTGCTTTAAGTGATCGTTTTACATCTTCGTTTTAAAAATAATAATTTTTCAGCTGGTGAGCATGGCTATGACGGCGGCAGCGGCAGTAGGGACGATGGTCGCGGCTACGATTTTCCCCCGCCACCGTCTGACGAAGTACCCCCGCCACCTGGACGCCCAGGACGTGGGGGACGCCGACGACGAAACGGTGGAGGTGGTGTTCGGGCATGGGGGCGCGAAGCTGGACGCCGACTGGAACGGCACGGGGAATAAATGTCATCGTAATCGATTTTTTCTCGTAAAATTTTCGGAACACTTTCGTTGGTCTTTTTGGAATTGAAAAACAGCCAAGTGTTGACATTTTTATAGTGGAATTATTGGCAAATCTTTTAGTTTCTTTTCACAGAACTTTTTTGTTTTACTATTGCTTAAATAACATAACGGATGTTGATGTGAGCGTAAAAATTTTTTATGTGCGAATAAGACACCGTCCTATAATTAAGTGAAAGGAACGCAGCGATTCTCGTAATGGTGACTGCAGCAGCGATGACATTTTATTATGGTGATCGTAATTAATAGCGCGGTAGCAGAACTTGTCACTCGCGTTGGCTCACATTCCGGGCGTGCATGCATCAGATAACAGCTGTAGGCCTACTATTGCCGGAAGCGGAACTAGTTCCCATGCGCTTATTTACAACCACTTGTATCTGACAGTTCAGGCAAAACATGCGCAATTTACCGCGTTTGCGAATAATTAGCGTGCAGCAGCTAGCACAACGCTGACATTGTACAAAGCTTTTAAAGTAATTTTTTAACACCTGCTGTATGTGACGGACATTGAAGTGGCGGTAGATGTCAAGATAGGTGTACTTGCGGTAAGCGTCAGGAACATAGCTGGCCGGAGGCTGCGGTTCCAGTCCCGGGCGCGGAATGGCGGTTGATCTGAGAGAAGCCTCAAAATAGGCATCCAGTGGAACAAGTGGCTGCTCCATAATATTTTGAAAATGATAGAAATTGGAAATGCGCGTCAAGCAGATGAGTGTATAGTGATGAGTGACAACGGGCGCAGGCAACGGCTGTTGTAAAAATAAGTGTATATTATATTTTTTAATCAGTCATTTCTCTCCGAATATATGTTTAGTCATGCGACTTACCAAAATAAGTGACAAAGCAAGGTGGCTGTTTTGAGGGGACTGTGAGCCGGTTGAGACGTTGGCGGCCAGGGAAATTATGTCGTCCCCATCGTCGTCGTCGTCGCGGTAAGCATCGGCACTGCTGTTGTTAAAGGTAGGTGTGGTTGGAGGGGCTGCTGGCGGAGTGTTTTCGCGGCAGTCATCTTCTTGGTGGGCACGGTTCGTGGAGTAAAGCACTGTTACTTCGTATTCGCGGGCTGCTGCGATCGCGGTGCCACCGCCGTCGTCGGCGTCGTTTTCATGGTTATGAATGAGCCTGGCAGAATTTGTAGTATTATTGTACGGCGGAGGCGGTGTTGCTGGTGGTGGTGGTGGTGGTGGTGGTGGTGGTGGTCTGGAGGAGGATAACTGGCAACCATCAGTGTTTAGCCGCTGATCCCTGTCTTGAAGGGGAGCGGCTGACAGAGACCGCTGGCTGGCTAGACGAAGTGACCTTCGCGGCATTTTCTAAAATTATATGCTGGTGAGATGGTGGTGGTGGTGGTGGTGATTCTGGGGAAAGGGTAGAGGCTGAGGTGGCTTACTCGGCCGCCGCAGGCAATATTCGGAGGGCACTCCAAGATTTCCAAGATCCTCTTATAGTACCGCTGCAAGATGGTCCAGAGAAGCTGACGAGCAGCGTCGGACTTGGCTGAAAATGTAGTTAGTCCAGAACCAATTACATAAATGTCTTCGTTGGCCACTGCTGCCTGGCAGTTCCAGCGACTTGCTTCCGCAGAAGGAACGCGGCGATACTCAACGTCAAAATTTAAAACTGTTGCGATATTGTCCAACAGATGAGTGAGGCGAATACGGTCGTAATAATCGGATTCTTGTGTCGTCCTGGGCTTTACTGGCTTCTCCAATACGGTCAACAAACACGAATAGTAATTACGTAATATTACCGCCAATAATTTCCTAGCTCCGTCTTGTTTAGCCGTTGCGAACGATTTTCCCACACCAACCGCAAAAATTTTTTCAGATATGACTGCCGCCTGGCATTTGCAAATGACTTCCTCGTTTCTCTTTCTAGGCAGACTTTTAAAATCGAGATCAAAGGACAAAAGTTTGCCAACAGTTCCAAGTATCGCCGTAAAGTGACGCCGAACCATGCCGTCTGGAATGGAAAAGTTGCCCACAAACAACCGGGCAACTGCAGAGATCTGCCGGCATACAGTTCGGTTTATAAAAGCTGTCCGTAGCTAGCCAGCCAGCCGGTAGGCGGAAACGGCGGCGTGGTCAAGAGGAGTAGCATAATAGTATAATTATCCAGATGTCCGCTTCTGCACGTGCATCCCCATGGGATACGCTTGCGCACACCCAATCCTGCCTCCCAAGTGGGCGAGACATGTGTTTGTCTGTGTGGGCGTGACTTACTGGTATATATAAATCACCAGCGATTGACAGGCGCGCTTATTCGGACTGCTGACATTAACATACTGACGACTACCACCTGTCGTCACCACCTCCACCGTTATACGTAAACGTTCCATTAGTACATCCGTTCATTGCTTTTATTTTGGTGTCAAAAGTGGAATCACAGTGTGCATGTGTGAGTGTGTGAGCGTGCCACAAAACGGGGATTCTAATAATCTAAGGATATCTTGCAATTACGCACGCTAATTTGGTAAGTGTTTGTACAGAGCAAGCGAGCGAGCGCTAATTGCTGATCAAAACGGCAAAAAACCAGTAGTGCGCGAAAATGCCAACAGCTGCTGAAAGTCGACGAAAATCAACCTTGCTGAAGAGACTTTATACTGATGTTGCATCTCCAGCTTATCTTGCCGGTGCTGGGGCGCTGCATAGGGCGGCCAGAGAAAAACAGAATGAGATACATTCAAAAATAACTTTGCGGGATGTAAAGGAATTTCTCTCGCGGCAAGTTATTCACACTCTCCATAAACCTGTGCGGTTCAAGTTTCCCAAACTAAAAAATTTTTGTGTGGGAATTGATAACGTTTGGCATGCAGATCTCGTTGAACTACAGAAAATTAAAAAGTTCAACGAAAAGCACAGGTATATATTAACGACAGTGGATTGCGTCAGTCGGTATGCCTTTTCCCAGCCTCTGGCTAGCAAGTCAAGCAACAATGTTGCAAAAGCTATGGAAAAGATTTTCCAAAATAGGCGCCCGGTTGTTTTAGGTATTGTTAATGGTATTTTGTATGTAAATTTTGAACGTACATTTTTAAAGGTTCTGTTTTTGGTTTTCTTCTCTGTAGTGACAGATGCTGGGAAAGAATTTCTAAATCACAAAGTGGAAGAAGTTTACGCAAGATACGGTATTCGACATCAGATTTCGGCATCGCGGTTTAAAGCAGCGTTAGCGGAGCGTTTCAATCGTACTTTAAAACAACGTTGTTTCGTCATTTTACTCTCACTAAAAGCCCCAACTGGTTCTCGTCTCTCCAGAATATTGTAAACAACTATAACATGAGGGTGCATGCCGGCACAAAATGAAACCCGCTGAAACAACGGTGCAACATCAGTCTCAGCTGTTCAAACTTGGCCAAGAGAAAAGTTCATTAAATTGCAAAAGCCCGCATTCAGGATTGGTGAAGCAGTCCGCGTAGTAATCAAAAAATCGCAATTCAGCAAAGGCTATACGCGCACATTTTCGGACGAAGTTTTCAAGATTGCTGACATAATTTACGGCCCGGTGATAACGTACCGTCTATCAGATCTTAACGGGCGAGCAGTAGGAGAAGCTCGAAATCGACCATCGCAGTTTTATAAAGAGGACTTGTCAAGTGTACGGAATCTGTCAGTCGGGTAACAGATATTTTTACAGGATGCACCTGCAGCAAAAATGATGGACAACGGATTTTATGTCACTCTACACAGCGCGGCCTCGCCGGCTTACGGAACGCTTATACTTCATAATACGCCGACACATTTCACCAATAAGTTGCAATTTCCCCTTCTATCCTTTCGGGAGCAGGAAGAGCCCTGGGAAGTTGCCCTCGTCCGTGCCTATTCTTCAGCAAAACTCACTAGAATTCCACCGGAGCAGCGCCAATTGACTGTTTACCACAGTAGCCCTAATTGTGGTGACGCGTTTTTTGACGGTTTTTTGACTGAGTCGGACTTTGAAAAAACACCAGCAGATTTTGTGTCTGCTATCAGCCGGGTAGTGGAAGCCATTATGGTTAGCTGCGGAACAACGTTATGGGCAAACGAAAAGCCACAAATTCAGTTGGTTGATGGAAAATTTCAATGGGTCAGCGAAAAAAACGTTTTCCAGTTCGTCAACCGAGGGAACTTGCTGTCGGCCGCTCTTGGACTGACGTACGACGAAGTGCTTGGAATTACACGACATCACGTTCTAACTAGTTATTTTCATGGACAGTCGTTTTCGAAGTATGGTGACACTCGGCTTATTCGACACCGCCTTCCTGTCGATCCGGCGCGTGGTCGGCGCCAGGTCATTCTACATCTTAGTCATGTTAATTCAACAGGATTTGGTGGACGTTTGGAAAACGTGCTAGCGTTGTCAACTGCAGAAGAACTCCAAAAGGGTTATGAACCAAAGAGTCGAGTTTACCTGCCCGTTCAAAACTGGTTCAGTAAAGCTAATCCGGAAGTAACGCTGAAATCTGATTGGAAAATGGAGTGGACTGAAGACACCCTGGGAGAAACTACGGTTACTTTGCATTATCGAAAATCTAAGCCGCAAGCGGTAGGATGATCATGATGATGATGATCTTGGCGCTCTTCACTAGGTTGAATAGTTTGTGTCGTAATTTTAATTGCTTTCTAGTTTTTTGTCTGGTCGCAGTGTTGTGGGCGTGGTTAGTTAAGTGTGGTGGTGTTTCCTGCACTTTGCAGGTTGATGATGTATAAAAGGAAGGTAAAGTGTAGGTTGGAGCATTCATTAATTGTTTGCTGCGTGTAGTCTGTAAAGTGTTTTCTGACACTGCTTGCACGCTTGGTCCACAATAAATAAAACGGCTAAATCTTACGGTAGAAAAAGAAGGAGGCGAGCCAACCGGTCTGTAATTAAGGCGGACAATAGTTCAGTCTACAGTAATTGGAAAATATCGGAGACGACGACGACGGCGACGACGAAGAGGAACGCGACGATCTCGACGCCGAACGATACGCACTGGTCTTTTTCAAAAAATAACGCGTGGA